CCCTTTGGTGAGCTGACTGTGTAACTGAGGGGGTTAAAATGCTGCTTTACCTTATGAGAGAGGAAAGAATCCATAAAGTGAAATTAAAAGAAAAGACTTTTAAAAAGAGACTCCAGAACAAATTTATTGGAGATTATTTTTCTTGTTTTCCTATATTTCTGTTGGTATTTTGATGCTTTAACTGCTCTGTGTAAACGAGGGAGAGAGAAAGAGAGAGAGGATGACTGTAGTCACTTTTTGACCATGCTTGCAGTGTAACAGAGAATATTTCACTTCTTTTTCACGCCTGTCTGTCTGTCTGTCCAGTCGTCTGTCCCCGTTTTTATCAGGAGGAACTTACAACCAACAAACAGGATTTTTTTTTTCTTTTATACGCATTTATTTCTTTTTTTATGAAAAAACAACTTTGGAAAAAAAAATGCAACCTTAAACAGAAAAAAAAAAGAAATCTTGTCATACCTCACAACACAAAACTCTACTAAACCTGGGAGGAGTTTTGCAGCGACGAAGGACTTTTCCCTCAAGCTTTGGTGTCCTTTCATTCATTCGGCTCGCCCGTTTTGGGAGATGAGCTAAAACCGTTCAGCTTTTCTCCCAAATTAAAGTCACATTGCGCAGAAAGTAAATTAAAAAGAAAATGTGAACGGCCCCAAAAACTGAGGGATATTTTACTTGTGTAATGATCTGATTGGTTGATGGAACTGAATGTAGCTGACAGAGGGGGTGCTGGACCTGGGCCCGGCACCGACAACCTAACTTCCACACACCAGCAGAAAGGATAGTGGTGTCACACCGTCGATGCTAAAAGTAATCAACAAAAAGAAAAGATATTGCCCGTTTGCAAGGTGCAATTCTATGCTATGTACTTTTGTATGTTTTCTGTTTTGATTTTGTTTTGTTTGTTTGWTTGTTTTTTACTTTGAYTCTTATTTGTCGGCCATAACCAAGGATGTAAATACTCAACATAAAACACTCATTGTAAAGATTTTTACCGCTCCATCCCATCGTCATGTAAACGGAGATGAAAAAGAAAAATGTGTGTTACGAGTTTCATGTGTGCACGCTGTCACATGTGCATGCAGGTCCGTACTCGAGGTGCCCCCTTGACATTAATCACAACCCCCCTGTGCCTCCTCTTGTTTGCAAAGAGATAGAAGCCGACCCGCCACAGTACCCCCCACCCCCCGAACACRACGCGCCACACCTGCACTGCAAAAACTGTCCATCTTAACCAAGTTTTACAATCTTATATCAGCCAAAAAGTCTTTTTGATCTTGTTTTGAGTAGGGCTGTGTATTGGCAAGAATTTGGCGATACGATACATATCATAACAGAGGGGTCACGATACGATATATCCCGATATATTGGGATATTGTAAGCAAGGCAATATATTGCGACATATTGCGATTTTTTTTGTCCAAAAATTCTATTAAATAAAAACCTCTTACTGAAAAAAAAA